GATGGCCGAAGAAGATATTCTTAAAAGTTGCTTTTCGTATATTGTTTGGTTTATACAAATTCTTGGTGATGCCGTTTAGTTTGAATAATGCTTTAGCAACTTTTCAGCGAATGATGGATGAGGTTCTTTGTGATATGCCAAAGGCGATCAACTCGGAGGGGATGTGGGAGGAACACATTTGTAATGTTTGTAAAGTGTTGAATCGGCTAAGGGATGTTGTTTTAAAGTTGAAGCGGTCAAAGTGCGTATTTGGGTTCAAGGACACAACTTATCTTAGGTACCATATTTCTCGTGAGGGTTTGCAAGTTGATTCTAACAAACTTATGGTTGTTCTAAAGTTCCATACTCCGAAGTGTGTGAATGATATGTAGCACTTCCTGGGCAAGGTGCAGTATCTTAGTCATTTTGTGGATCATCTTTCTGATTACACTACACTATTGCGAGCATTGCTGAAGTCATCAATGTCATCTTTTATCATGTCTCAAGATTGTGAGTGGATATTCGTGGATCTTAAAAAGCTATTGATTACTCCTCTGGTTTTGGCATATCCTGACTATACTCAACCTTTTATTTTACGTATGGATGCTTTTGATATTGGTCTTGGAGGTGTGTTGATGCAAAAGAGCCTGAGTGTGCTTGGTCAGTGCCATCCCATTGCATATATAAACCATACATTAGAACCAACAGAGGTGAACTACTTCACAACAGAGAAGGAGTGTTTAGTAGTAATTTTGGGTTTTGAGAAACTTCATGCATATCTACATGGTTCTTAGATGTTACTTGAAGGTGATCATGCTGTCATTACTTTATTATTGAAGTGAAAGAACCTAGTTGGTCGTACTACTTGGTAGGCTTTGAAGCTTCAGTTATATAATTTTGATGTTATTCATCACTTAGGGAGTTTTATGGTTGATGTTGATGCTCTATCTTAAACTCCTCTTCCTTCTCCACTCTCTTATCATATTTCTGATGAGTCTGTTGTTTTAGCATTTATGAATTTTCTAGAGGAGGATTTTGTGCCGTTGGCAGTTGCTATACTTGACATTCAGTATCCACAAGGTGCAGAGCAAGATCTACCTTCTCTTGATGAGGTTTGCGAGTCTCAAAAGCTTGAGCCATGGATTTGAAGGCTTTGAGATGGGTTTGAAAATCTTGTATCACTTGTTGATGACTTGCCATTCCGGCATTTACATTCTCAATATCACCTTGAAGATGGCCTTCTTTATTTTATGGGAACAGATCCTAATGATCCTTTATAGCTGGTGGTGCCTTCCGTCTTTATTCCACAGTTTCTCCTTGACTACCATGATTCTTTTATTCTAGGCGGGCATATGGGACATCGTCGTGTGACTAAGAAGCTGCACAAATCTTTTAATTGGCCGGAGATGCGACGTGATATTATCCGGTATGTGCATAGCTGCATTTAGTGCCAAACTCGTAATACTCCCCCTCATACCGCAAAAGGATGGTTGAAGTTAATTGCAATTTCCCGTCCATTTGAGTTGGTGGGGTTTAATCTTATGGGACATTTTCCATGGTTGATTGCTAGTAATGAGTATGTTATTATTGCTTCTAACTACTTAACTCGTTGGGTGGAAGTTAATGCTCTTGCTAGCCTGTTAGATACTTCCTCTTCAATCGAGTGATGTTCCAGCATTCTTGTCCAAAGTGGATTCTTTCAGATAATGGTCCCACATTTATGGCTAAGGCATTTCATGTTTTGACATCTCGGTTAGGGATATGCCACACTTTCACGAGTGCTTATCATTCACAATCAGATGGTCTAGTGGAATGGCTCGTTCGGACGTTCAAAGGGATGATTGCGAAGTATGTGAACTTTCAGCATTCAGATTGGAATGGTTATTTACCGTCTCTTTGGTATGCATATGTCACAGATGTGCAGAGTTCTATTGGTGCTTCACCATATAAACTCCTATATAATCATGATCCAATACTACTAACGGAGTTGGGTTTACTTTCGTAATTGCCACAAACTGCCAATATTAGGTTGTAGGATCAATATTTGACGAGCATTCTTCCACTTATCCAAGCAGAGTTTGCCGAACACTTAGACCGCATATAAATGGGACAACAATAGCACTACAACTCCCATCATTGTCCACCTGCAGAATATAAAGTGGATGACTTGGTGTTAGTCCATTTTCCCCATTTTATGGTATGTGGTTTATCTAAGGGGCTCCTTGCACAGTAGAAAGGACCATATCGGGTGTTTTGGTAAGTTAAACTACAAGTTTATGAGGTTTAACATAACGTCGAGTAGGCCGATCCTCCAAAAATTGTGTATATGTAGCGGTTGAAATGCTTTATACAAAGGGATCATAAGCAATTAATACACTTACAGATCCGCAAATGCCTCCTCCTGATGTTCCTCTAAATTCCAGCCCATCTACCAGAAAACTTTGATGGTCTTCCATTATTCCGAGAGGAGGGGATGATATAAGGGCCAAGTGTACAGCTACAATGTTGTATATTAACATTAGCATAGTGGGATTTTGGTAATCATCAAATTGGTTTCAATCCGGACCATCCCATGTGCTCAAGCCTAAGCCCGAGCCCGTGTTACTCACTCCTATATATAAATTAGGGTTTTTGGGCTAATTGATATACACATTTTCTGTATTCCCTTTCCATATTCCAAGCACTCACAAAAGCAAAGAATTTAAAAACCAAAAGTATTTTACAAATTGATAATTTTTCCAACTTTTTGTATCTTTTTAATCTTAACTAACATATCATAGTATGAATTCCCACCTATAATCTTTATGTGCTTGGTCTATAGGAAATTAGAAGTATAAATTAAGTGTAATATATTTTCAATCACTCTAAACTCTTTAACAAGGGACTAAACCCTTTACAAATACCTAAGTTAGATTTTTTAAAGTTTATAATAACCCAATAAGCAATGCACACACATGCAATAAAGATAAAATGTAAAAAAATTAGAGAACAAAAGACTTGTTAGAAAATACCTAGTCGCCACCG